TGTCACCAACCAACCAACAAATGCATTCACCAAACGTAACAAGCAAAACAAAAGTTTTCCCAGACTGTGAAAATTAAAAAAAATATCTTAAAATTACTTTCTGCAGAAATTTTAGTAAGAAAAACAAAGAACTGCAAAAAGTGCAGTAGAAAAAAGTAATATCGTGATTATAAGATAACCTTTAACAACAGTGAATGAACTTTTTTATTTGGATTTAACTACAATGCAGCATAAGTCAGTGCTCAACTATATTTAAATAACGATATCATTGGCATCCACATGCCGTGCACCCACACCCCATGCATCTGCCGCAAGTGGAAAAACAGAAGTGGAAAAAACTGAAGTACTTTGTCAGCATGTGAAAATTCACACCACAGAATGACCAAAGCGCGCTCAGTGGTGCAAACACGAATAATAAAGATTTTCAGATACAAATGTACAAAAAATATATTTGTTTTACTTACAGATTTTTTTCCACGTAATACCCACGATAGTTGCATGTTTCAATACTGTTTTTATTTAACATTGCAATTTTCCTTCTATCTTGTTTTTCCGCTTAAATTACGATTGTTTTTTGTTTTTGTTTTTGTTTTTGTCATTGCAACAATTGTTAAATTTGAAATACGAGACTAAAGTAACACATAATCAAAACCCGAAAATTTACAAAAAAAAATTTTATGCAAATTACTAGCAAATGAATTAATGGCCGCAGTATATAAATTATACATGCCGGCCACAATCACTGCATTTTGGATTCACAGATGAGTCCAATTGCAGTCAGTAAGCCATCGAGATTATATTCGGAAAATTCAACACGTTTTGTGTATTGGTTGCATTCTTCATTCGTTTTTTCTTTGGTTTGAATAATATTCTTATTATACAAAAATAGAATTATTTGGTGGAATAGATATTTTGAAAGAGAATTATATTTTATAAGATAGAAGAAGTAATGGTGGCATTAGCTAATAAAAAAATACTAATAATGTACTTTTACTTTTGAGAGAGATTAGTTATGGGTTAGTTAAAAATTCATGTTCTATAAATAGAATTCAGAACTCCTAATTAAGATACTGATTTTTCTGCATTTCGCAATCTGCAAATGCATTCAATAATTAATATCTGGAGAAAAATGTGTAGCGATATAATAAGAAATTTACATTTTATGTGATGTAATTAAACACATATTATCAGCAAGAATAGTATTTTAACAACTATTTTAGTCGAATATTTTATTAATCAAAATTTCTAATAATGACAGATATGAGCAGATTAACATTATCACTTGCTTACTGAAATGAGAGGAGTTTTTAATTTTTAATAAAACTTAGATGCATATGTGGCAGTAAGAATATCTTACTTATAGTCACTAAATGCAAATGTGGTCGTCTTATGTATGAAGTTCTCAGACTATCTCAGACCATCTCAGACCATAAAACTGTTTTTAAAGAAAGTAAAGAAAGAAAGTCTCGTACATTCTGTGTAAAAAAATGTCAAGCTATTAATAAAAAAGAAAACAAAATCTAAATGGCAATCTATATTATTCTAAATGTATTTTATCACCTTCAAAGAAGACCGCATGAATGGAATACAACCATGGTATGTTATCTCAATCTTCCATACATTTTACGTAGATAGTTTACATAATGGACTTATACAACTTATTCAGTAAACTTTGTTCGATATTGTTTTGACCCGCTTTCAGTTGTTTTTCATCAGAAAATTTCTCATCAGAAAATTTTTCATCAGCTCCAATTGCAAACATTAAAGATTGAGTTTAATATTATAATACATATTTAAATAAGGATTACTAAATAAATTGCTGGACATAACTAGTAATGTTCTTACTAAAGTACTAACGGGGCAAAATGCTATTGCAGGAATGTTGCATATCAACAAGTAGACTACGTAGTAGTTGGTATGATGAAGAAGCAGTAGAATTTATCAATTAATTTCAAAATTTCTACCCTCGATTACAGACATAACAGCTCTGCTGACTAGAAGATCAGTTCTTCGCCGGCTGAGAGATGATCTAGTTAAATTAGACTTAACAGTTCTTCTTAACTTCATACGAAAAACGAAATGATTTCTTAAGAAAAATATAGTTCGCTTCTTTCTGACAACTTTAAGGGCTTCTATTGAGAAGTTAATAGTGGTATCTGAATGTCAGTAAAACGGGAACTTTAATGGCTTCTATTGAAAAGGTAATAGTGGTATCTGAATGTAACGGCTGAGGTTTGCTTCAACAATGCGTCTTTAAAGCCTAGCCATATATACGAGGATATCACCCTTGTAACAAGTGGGTTGTATTAAGAACATAAAACGAAGCTGGACTTAGTTAACAAAAGTAGTTCACTTACATTTTTTTGCTGTAGTTCTGTTGTTATGAAAAAGAAATACTAATTTGTACATTAAGTTTGTGAAATGGAAAGAAAAAAATCAAAAATTAAGATATTTATTCTAAAGATTCTATAATTTATTTTTACTGAATCAGTAATTGTTTTCCGCAAGGTTGGCAAAATACTTCACTATGGTAGGTAGGTGCAATTTCGTTTGAATTTAATTATTTTTCACTGCACAAAAACCTTTCAGATTTCAGCTTATCCATAATAATAATAATTATTTTTCACTAAATAAGTTTTTTAAGTTGTGAGTAGAGCAATGAGTCAGGGGCAGCTTAACCTGGCGAATAGGCCACTTGTTGGAAGAATTAGAACTCCAATTAAGTGATTTTAGTTTTGATTTTTATTTTAAATATTTATAATTATATACATTACATAATTATAAACATATATATATAATATATGTTATATATATATATATATATATAAATAAATATATATAAATATTTATAAATATATATTTTTTTTATATTTATAAAAATAAAATAAATAATATAGATATTACTTTATCACTAGTGAACTTTTCAACTGTGTAATCAATTAATTTATTATATTATTAATATATTTAATAAGCTATATTAAAAGGTTATTAACACTTTTCACAATTAAAACATAACTCTTTTCAACTATAAATATTATATGACTCCGACTCTTCTCTTACGAGTAATGAAAGCATTTATACTATGCTTAATTAAAATAAAATTAGTTAATAACTATGTGCAAATATATTAACTATGCTCACTACGTAGTTAACTATTTAATTAGCAAAATTAAAATAAAAAAAGATTTTAATAACTTATATTAAATTAATTATGCTTTTAATATTTTATGTGGTAATAAAAGTATACGAATAATAAATTGTTTTTTTGCTTAGTTTAACTTTTTTAATATAAAACGGCAAGCCTTAAATAACATTTATAGACATTAAAGCTATAAATTTATTTTTATTTGCTGAATATTTATGTGTTTTAACCTACAATCTGTGTTGGCCACTTAAATATTCTGTATAAAATCACAGTTTTATTAACAAAACATAAAAAATTGTAGACACACAAAACAAAAATCAATACAAATTTTTCTGTGAAAACCCAAAAGGCGAAACGTCTAAAGTAACAAAAAGCAGAAATGTACTGGAAATGTATACAAAACAATAACCAATAAAACAGCATACATTGCGGCTTTGACACTAAACTGAAACCGAATACTTAACTGCTTCCAAAGGCTAGTCATAAACGTGTCCTTTTCATGTCCTCTTTAACATCTTGAAATCACGAAAACTTGAATACAAATGGCACAAAGTTGCAGAAAAAAACGACAGAGAAAGTACTTACACAAAAGCACCGAAGACAGGACATTCAAGGATAAAAAGTAGTAGCATTAAAAGAATGACCTTAGAATACACAAATACTTCAAGAAAAATAATATTAAAAATGCATGTATAGTATATACGTATATGGAAATAGTTTAAAAATAAACTTAAGTACATAGAAAAATCTTTAAGATATATAAGGACTTATCTGCATGAAATAGAGTAGAAACTAAAGAGTATACACACTCGTCTACTTAAAAAGGTATTGCACATTGTTTATTCAATAAGCTGGTATTTAAGAATGAATATATACGAGTATTTTTGAATTGGCAACACTCTTACTAGTTATAAAGCTGAGGTTCTGTTCAATCATTTCACAAAAGTATTGACAATATATTTTACATATAAACAATAATTAATATAGTATTTTCCACTGAATAACATGTTGAATAACAAATTATTATTTGAACTTATTTGAATTATTAAGAGCGTTGAGATATAAAAGTAAAGACAGAAAGAAAGAAGTATGACAGCACCTGCTTTATGTTGCCTTGATATGGCTTTTAAAAACTAATTCTTTAAAACTGATGAAATTAAGAAAAACATCATTTCAGACATATTAATTAAAAAGATATTACTTTTTAAAGAAACATCGATATTCATAAATTTAAATTAATTTAAACTAATTCGGAAACTATAAAACCTGAACTTTGTTTACAAAACTGTACTAAGGGGTAATCTCCAAGAACTTAGGGCCATGTTCAACTTAGGGCCATGTTAAGGAGAGTGTCATGGGCTCGTCAAAATTGGTTCTTTTGAGCTATGAAGAAAATGTATGTTATGCAGAGTGTCACAGAAATTGTATGGTAATAATTTGCTTTTAAAATGTTGACATTTATTACTGAACAACACTGCTTTGCCTAAGTGTAGACGCACAGATAGCCTCGGCTCTCATGACTAAATTTGAACCGACATATTGTTTTTTCTTTCACTTTCAATTTTAAAATTTGCATTGAAAACAAAACAAATTTTGCTCATTACGAGCCCATGGTATTCTACAGAACATGGCCCTTAAGAGCCTATTACACATCAACAATTGTTGTCAAACAATCGCTGTTGGGTCTTGATGTGTAATAGCAAACGACGACAACGATTGTTTGACAACAATTGTTGATGTGTTTTCTTAAGTTTACTTGTTTAATTTTTATAACAGTTAAAATATTTCATAAAGTAGGCTATATTTATTTTTGACATAAATAAATATTCTTGCCTAGCATTTGAAAATAATGTGAGCAACGGTCAACATCAAATTTAGGAACAAAAAAAAATAAATTTTTTTTTGACAAAAATTTTTGGTGTAAAATATTTTTACAAACATGCCACGTGTAGCAAAAAATAAGGCCAAAAGCGAAGCTTCTGTGAATTCCTCATCAAAAGGATTTAAGGAAAAACTGAAGAAGCGACTGAGCTTAGAACAAGAACTTTTAAATGATTTTGAAAATGAAAGGGCGCACTATCGTAATGCTCGCCAGAAGAACGCCAAGAACTCGCATCAACAAAATAAGAATACATCGGTGATTTCAACAACTTCAATAGAAATCGAAATGAAACAAATTGTGCAAGAATGTACGATATTAAGTAATTATATTAGTTCAAGTGATGAAATTTCATTGAACAATGCATCTGAATCAGAATTAAATGAAGTAAGTTTGAAAGAGCCCTTGAGTGCTGAATCACTTTTAGGTACCCAAAGTGAATGCCTGTTAAACGGTTGTTCCTGTTGTAAATATTCAAAGAATAAAAGTAAATCACTTCGTAACACTATGAAGAAAAAGAAGGGTCCCTTTTGGAAAAGATAAAATCATATATCATGATACCTCGACTACCTTATGTCCAATACAGTAATAGTGAGAACTTGGTAAATAGTAAGTTTTGAATTCCTAAATGCACTCCTACTATTTTATTTTTCACAATTATAAGAATTTAACAATATTGTGTAGTATTTTATTGATTAATATATTCTAAATATCTTGTTGGTTTAGTATAGAATATTGAATGAATAAGGATATTTATTCACAATTACCATCTAATGAGATAATATATAAATCACACTTTATGAGATCTTTTTTGTCATTGGAGTATCTTTGCTATTTGAAGCCCGATATATTGAAATGTAAATTAAATAAATGACATGATGGTAATTATTTACAAGTGCAATGTAGTAAGTAAAAACGAATTTCTTATATGTATCATAGAGAATACTTTCAGACAATATTAAATTTACAATCAAATATAATTTTAGAGGTCTGATGATATTTTTTTACAATTTTATCTAATTAGATAGTATTTATCAGAACTAATTCTTCATTGGAGGATTCATTGCTATTTGGGACAAGAGGTACACAATAGAAATATAAATAGAGTATGAGGCATGATGGTAATTATTATTTATACTTGGAATCTTATAATTGTAAGTAAAATTTTATTTTGAACTTCCTATTAAGTTTACTTTGACCTAAGGACATTAAGTAAATTAAGAAACTAACTAAGCTATCGTAATACTGGACTAAAAAAGCAAATTGGAGGTTTCGAATAAAAAAACAGAGAAGACAACGATGACCTTTGCACATGATTTGGGACCTAACATGGTCAATTATTAAAAAAAAAATAAACACGTTTGGCATGTACACATATTTGTTAATAGAATTTATATTTGGATCACTAAAAAGCAGAGACAATATTTGTATCTAAAAAAAAATAATTGTTTTATTATTTATATTTATAATTATTATTATGTTGAGGCTAGTTGAGTTAGTGCACTTGAGCACTTTTTCTTTCTCTCTATTAACTACGAGGTTTCTTCATAAGCAATAACGCGGTGTTGGTAATCCTGACAGTTTTCGTAAATAATTTCAGGGCTCTATCCTTGATATATTTTTTGATCGGATCAAACTTGAGGTCCCTGAGGATATTATCGTCCTAATGTACCATAGTACCTTCTGAGAGCCTGGATTTGTAAAATTTCTAGCTGGCGAATACTAGTATTTCAAGCCTTACACCATATATATCTAAAAGTGGATATGTAATATTGACTGTTTCATTATTTTATTAACAGAAATGGTAGTGACATACTGCAATCTATAAAAGTCCTTGAGGCTATTGACAAACCTAATAATGTAATATATCTTGGTTTAATATCTTAGACCTCATTCGGTTCAATAATAGCTGTTTAGACGTTCTGGAATTATATGCTGAGAATGGGAGTGCAAAAAAAGATAAGATGGGTAAAAATTTAATACTGTATTTTATAAAATCTACAATTATCGATGAGTGGTAATCAGTTGACCCACTAATTAATCTGAGTTCAGATCTGTTTAAACTAAAAAACTATCAACATTTGTGTGTTTAAATCGATTGAGCCGTTTGAGAGAGAAAATTGCTATAGCTCAAAATTGTACTCAGGGAGTATATATGTAGATGAAGTTTGTTAGCACTGTTGTGATCTAAAAGTTTTACAACTTTTAGTATGTAGTATGTAGTAGTAGTATGTAGTGAGTTAAGACACCTTTTTTGCAAGCTTGTCACCTGTTTTATTTATCGTGTATGAGATTTCTGTAGCTACAGTCTAACTTGTGTTTGTTCGTTTTATGTTTGAGATTTTATAGCTGGTCGGCTATCCAGCTTTAAAAATCTGATGTTTTTGCATTGTTCTTTTATACATTCTATAACACAGATATATATATCTCTTTTTATTAAATTTTATATAAATTTAATCTTAAATTTTATATAAATTTAATCTTAAATTTTATATAAATTTAATCTTAAAATTGATACGGAGAATTTCACTGAAATGCGCTCTAGCAGTTTCAAAAGCTTGCATTATAGTTTAATAAAGGAAATGTATCTTTGCTTGAAAAATGTTTCATTGGTTTTATTGAACAATGTTTTAAAATAATTTGTTAAAAGTATTCAATTGAGTAAGTTCCTCTTGCACTTCACAGCACACTATTAACATAAAAAAGGGACAAATGATCAATATAAAAAAATACATACTTTTACTTAAATAAATAAAATAAAATTAAATTAAAATCAACAAAGTTGCAAAGGTTTAATACGAAACAAATTTAATGTAATTTTTTCCTCAAACGTACGAGTATAAGAAAAATATTTAATTTTAAATAAACAAGTCACGATTTTGTGTATTGCATTAGGATTTGTGTTGTGTGTAGCAAAAAAAGGTACGAAAATCGCAATTGATTTATACGCAGGGAAGATAAAAAAATTCTCAATTCCACTAATCAATCAATGAGGATTAGATTCATTCCTGCATTTGAGCAAACTTTATAAATTGTACATAATAAAAAAGCAATTTAATTTAGCCTATTAAAATATCTTTTGTGTATTTCATTTTATTTTCTGCACATTGCGATAAACTACAATTGTATCTGACTGTATGCAAAAGTAATCCGAAATGTTTGAAATTAGTTTCAAATATTTATCAATAAATCTTTTTAATTGTCCCTCGCTCTTATTGTGTAAAATTCAATTACACTTTTTTAGTTGTGTTATGCGAGCTATTTAAATATTGAATTAAATATTGTATATATTTTGGAATTTTCTGCACGTTTCTTTCCTTTTCTCTTTGAGTTATTGACTTACAATGCGATTGTCACCACTGGTACTAGTACTGGTTCTGGTACTACTAGTACTGTTGGCTTGTAAACTCACTTCCTTCCTGCTGTCCTGTGCTTGGCAAATTTGTATCCGTGTTTTGCTTGTTAAATTTTTTGTGAGATAATTGAAATTAGATTCCAAATCGAAAATTACAGCTTCAGGGTAGTCGCGTTTATTTATTTTCGATTTTTATCTTAAAACGTTGGTGCTTTATTTAATTCTTTTAGATACTATTTTTTTTGTATTTTTTTTTTTGAAGTGCAGCATTACATTGTGAATTGAAATTTTGTTGCTGAGATATTCTTGACTGTATTGGGTGTTAGCTTAAAGTACTTAAATTGAACGGATTTATAGCAGCAATTAATATATTTAGATTTGAGCTTGAATAATTGAATCATTATATTAATTAATTACGGGTACTTCAAAATTGTATTAAATGGAAATTACAACGCGAAGTTTAATACTGTTTTGCCAATTATTATTTTAATGATTAACGATTTTATAATACGATTTTTGTAATAATTAATTTGTTGGTATATAAAAATTTTATCCAGTGCATGGCATTACCAAGTGAAAAGTATATAAAAGTAGAAAAATACGGAATTTTTTTTTTGTTTTGTAATTTCAGAAATTCGCATAAAATCTTGCGTTATTATTTTATTTCAAGGGATTACCAAATCATAATAATCCACAATCTTTGTAAATTGCTCATCTTCATCTTCATCAGCATTATATTCAAATGCAAAACGACGACTATTGTGTGTACTAAGGAGACAATAATGTTGTAATAACGAAAAATATAGCGTCAGTATCGATATTAAAAGTACATAGCGAAGCAGTCAATGGTGGCAGTCAAAGGAGGAACACAAATTCAGCACATACCATAACACCATTTTGTTTGGAAAAAAAAAACCGGATATAATGAAAGTTGAAAAGTCTTTCAACGCGTTCTCCAAATTCATTACCAACGCCAACTAACCAACTCCTCCAATTTGCGTTTCAAAGTCAATAATGAAAAATTTATGCGTAGAAAACGGAAGTAAAAATTGCCAACAAAATGGCTGAGCTGCTATTTGGAGGAAGCTCGCTGTAAGAGTAGACTCTAATTTGAAATTTAAATTATTATTAAATAAAAGGAAAAGGAATTTTTTGTTTTTTTTATTTTTATTATTTTGCACAGTTTTTGTTTTTTGTTCCCTTCTTTCGTTTCTCATGGTTTATTTACTAAGAAGAAAAATTAAAAACGGAAGTTGCTGCCAAGGAAAAGGCTATAAATATTTTGTGCGTGCTTTTATCAGGAAAGTTAAAGGGTAGCCAAGGGAGCAACGAAATAATAGAAAAATTTACGCAAATTATAATCAAAATATTGTTAGTTAAAATGAGCTTAAGTTTAAATAGATGATTGTAAGAAAAGTAAAAAAAAAAGTCGTATTAACTATAATAATACAAAAGTAATAAAAATTTTTTTGTAGGGTTTAAATAGAAATGAAAAGACAACAAAAAAAATGTAAGTTAATTTATTGAGATTTGACCATACAACGCTATTTCGAGTATTGCCAAGTATGGTAATGTATAAACAGCGTTGTATGCTCAATCAAATTTCAATAAATTAACTAAAATTTTTGTTAATGTCTTTTTATTTAAACAGTTCTTACTTTTAAATAGTTTCTTTTTGTCATAAGACGCATGACTTTTATTTTATATATGTAACACTTGTAGAATTGGAAAACTTATTTGCTTTTTCCAACTGAATTATTAGGTGCTTGTCGTATTAAACTGTATAGTTGATGAATTACATGCAATTACCTACATAAACACACAATTTAAAAATATAAAAAAATGTAATATATTTCATCTGAAGTAATGAACAAAATATCTGGAAAATTGAAACATTCTTGTAATTTTGAATATATATTATTACTTTTTCTTGTCGCAGTTTCGTAGATTTTTGACTTATTTTTCAGGATAGCTTGTATTTTAACTAGTTGTCAAAATGTAGTGAGCGTAAAGACAATGTACATTTTGGATTACTTTTAGGCCGAAAGCAGTTAACAGCTGTTTTAGTTCTTGGTATTGATATGTTCATCTTATTTAGATTGCACCAAACCTTCCATGGTTTTCCATGGATATCAACTGCAAGAGCCATGGTATGGCTAAAAAAGGATGCAATGCGTTTTTATAAGATAATGACCTCTTCTAATAGTCGAGTTGTCGATTTAATTAACTTCTAATAGTCGAGTTGTCGAAGTGTCGATTTAATTAACCTAACAGCAGCTGAGTTAAAAAAAGAGAGTGTTCAAATAAGCATTGAATTAAGTGAAGCGGACATAGTCATATAGTGAGTGTTAGTCATAATAACTTTTATATCAGTTATCAACCCATTCTGCTGTGAAGCCATCGGTAGCTTTACTATGGTTTTTGTTATGCTTTTTAAGTGTTAATTTTGTTAAGAAAACAGATTTGTAAGTTCTTCTTTTCCAAATACCACTCATCAAGTCCAGGTGAGTACTATAATTTTCTTGTTAAATTAGATATCTTCATTGTATTTTGGTTCACGTAGCAGCATCTATATTTGTCTAATGAAGATATGCTTAATATATGAAGATAATGCTTGCAGCAAGATTGTCCTTTGTTAGCTTCGCACAGATGCTCAAATCATGTCGTTGAATATATATATCTAGCTTTATATATTCAGATTTAAAGAAGCCTGTTTAATCTATTATTAATTTTTGCTAAAAAACCATAGATTGTGGTGCTAATTTCAATGAAATGGATTTAAGGTTATAGTCTAGATGGAAAATCTGTTTTCTTATTGTCATTATGATCTCTAAGTCCCAGCAACTATACTATAACAACACTTAATTACTGTAAAGAAATGCTTAAAAAATGGTGATTTTATTGTAAATTTACAAATATATTCCAAATTTTGGAAAATCAAAATTTATTGAAGAAACTAAAGACAAATGCTCTCTTTGACTTTAATCTACACTCAATAAATTTTAATTAACACATAACATTTTCATAAAATATCCCTTATTTGTCAAATTCAAAAGCTATCACTTCAACAATTTTA